TTTCTCTTGTATTCTTGTGTTGATGGGATGCCACATAGAATGAGAAAATCACACATGAATTGGGGACCATAACCCTTTATATATTTCCATATGTATTCGGCCCATCGTCAAATACAAACCCTAATGGATCCGGTCTCTACACATATAGTCCGGCCCACACTTTAATTAGATGCATAAAGCCCAATTACTTAATTCTTTATTAGATCACTTTAATTTTGGGCTTAACTTTAAGATAGCATTTATACACAGTTAATTACATATGTCGACCCATCTCGGGAAATTAAATAATTTCCCAACATCGAATTCATAATACTTATCTTCTCTCGAAGAGAATTAGGTGATAACTCGAACTTACACTAAATCTCTTGTTTATTAGACAAGCATAAATTGGAAAGCCGATTAATTAGCTTATAATTGTTTTGCAGATTGATAGCTACGTGAAGATATTTCCCGGTGTTGCGCATGGATGGACAACTCGATACATCGATGACAATGAATTTGCCGTTAAGAGTGCTCAAGAGTCTCACTCGGACATGCTGAACTGGTTCGTTAAACACATCAAGTGAAAAAGAAATCGAAAGGATCAAACCATTGGGATCCTTCCTTATTTCAGATGGAAGTTACTTTCCATTGTACCTTCAATGCTTAAGTAGATGTTGATGAGAAATTAAGCGACTATTGAAGAATAAAGCTTATTTGATTAAGCGTATTTGATAACGAAGATGTTGACATACCTAAGGAGCTTGTATAAGTGCATGTTTGGCAAAGCTTAAATTGTAATTTAAGTTGGTTAAACATAATTTTTTATCTTCACGACTCATGATTACTCTACTTTTAATTTATACATTTTGTAGGATCCAAAACTTATTATCACTTAATGTATAAAATTTTAAAATATTCAGTGATACGTCAATTATGCCATTAAAAATGATTTTGTAACCTACACCAGTTAAAACTTGCGCGACCATTAAAATAATCATTAGGATAAAAAAACACTTAGGTCACCTAAATATGAGCAAATTTCATTTTAGTCACTCAACTTATTTTTCAAACTCTCTTATTGAAGTTTTAATTTCATTTTAGGTTGTTCTTTCTATACCAATTTTATTGCACGTTCAACGTTATAATAACTATAATCGTATTTCATTCGCACTATGCACCTTTTATGTGAATTTCTCTATGCACATAGGGATGTCAATTTGGCTCATCGGCTTGGGCAGTCGGAGGCTTGGTAGAATCGAGTCGAAGCTTGGGCAGAACCGAAAAGGCCCGTATAAAATTAAAAAAAAAAAAATTGAAATGAAAGGGGGGAAAGAGGCAATTGTGTAGCTGCCTTTGTGTTATATATTTATTTTAAAAAAATCGGATCAGCCCGTTGTGGCTCGAGCTTTTCAAGCCTTTGCTTGGCTCGACTCGGGCAAAAAAAAAAAAGTTCGAACCTATTTTATTCAAGTCGAGCCCGAACTTCGAATTTCGATTCGACTCGTTGTCACCCCTATATGCACATCATAAACAATCAAGAAACTATTGAAGAATGAAGCTTATTTGATACGTAAATGTTCGTGTAGTCTAGTTCCATTTAGACTTGATTAATAGTGTTGTGATTAGATTTGACTGGTATACGCTTAACGAAGAGACAAGTCACAACTCAAATTTACACTAAAACTCTTCTTTCTTGAAATGCATAAATTGAAAAATCGATTAATCACTATGCGAAGATCTTCTGCGGTGTTGCTCATGGATGGATAACTCGATATAGCTATGATGATGAATTTGTTGTTAAAGAGTGCTCAAGAGTCTTACTTGGACATGATGAACTAGTTTACCAAACACATCGAGGGCCTGTTAGAGTCCATTTTTGACGTAAAATACATTTTGAAATAGTAGATTAAGGGAGTATGTGTAGTTAAAATTGAAGGAAAAACTTTTGGATTATGTGTAATATTATTTTATTAATAAATGTGTGGTTGAAAATAAGAAAGAGAAAAATAAATTTTAACAAAAATGGGGATCGAGATTAAATGATAAAGAATTCAGACAGATTTCTAAGAGTTCATAAAATTATGTGTTTCTTTATTGCTTCTTTAGGCTATGAGATTTGTATTGCTAGCTCACCTGTTGTAGTGTGATATATGGAACTTGTGGTCAATGAATAATTTTCTTCGATTTTTCAAATTTTTGTCTTGTTTTGAAATAATTAATTTGAGTTACTATATGACTGAGTTGAATTATCCTCTCTCTAAATTTAGGATCCACGATATTGGGAGGCTTCGTTCAAATTTCACATTCCATTAAAAGTGACTATTAAGATCGAAATATCTTTCCATACTGGTTAAGGGGAAATTAAGTTGTTGATTGTGCCCAAAAAATAACGTGGTAGCTGCAACACAACTTTGGAGTGTCAATTCCACAGGGAGATAAAAGAAATGCTCAAATGATCAAAACTGATGGATGTTCTCTCGCGTATGAAGTAGAATTTATTGCTTGAATAAAATTAAGAATTCAATGTTTGAAATAATGAAATTAAAATCAATGTTTTGAGGTAGCGAAATATCAAAATTCCCTCAATTGGATTGGATCAATCTCATAAATTATTCATTTTTATAACTCAATTAGAGGTCTTCATCCCAACTCTTTAATCGGAAAATGTGGCGTTACCAATCAGTTTAATTTAATTATAATCCTAGAATCTAAACTTCTTATAACATATTTGCACTGTTTTTATTGAAATAAGATCGAGAATCGACCATATCAATCCACCAAGAAAGTAAAATTGAAATTGAAACTCAGCAAATAGTTTAATTATTCGATGAAAAAATCATGACTGAATCCATGAAAAATCTAGTAAAGGTTAAGTCAATCCCAAAATATTCATGAAAAGAAAATCTAAATCTTAAAATTGTTTGACAATGAAAAAATCAAATAACATGGATAAAAGATGAGAAATCACCAATTCCAATTGAGTTCTTCCTAACTTCACCAATGTTTTTAATGTTGACCTATGGTTGACTTCTCGTTTTGATTATTACAAACAAATTGTGTTTATCACTAACAAATTGATTTCAAGTGTCCATAGCAATCTATTATACATATTTTGATGTCACAAAGTTCAAGGCGAAGATATTTACACAGAATGACCAATGTGGAAACATGATCAAACAATTTAGGCCATGAAGAATGATATTGCAACACCCCGCAAAAAGTTGCCTCAAAGAGAATCAAGACACAAGTCGAAGTACTGTCAAGTAATGCGCGTCAAATGTTCAAACTAAGTACTTAGACGTTTCACGACTATATGTAAAGGTAAAACACATTAATAGATAATGTATCGTGACAAGCTCAAAGTTTTGATTTTACAAAATTCACGACAAAAATGTTTTAATTATGTTTTTCAAAAGTAAAGAATCGTAAACATATTTTTAAATATGACAAAAATTTTGAAAAACATCTTAAACGTCCCTCCAACATTTACATTTGACAAAATTTAAAAACGAGGACGTTTCAAACATTTTTGTTATACCCGACGTCCGGTAAACATACCAGACATCCAATATAATCGAAATTGCTCCAACAGTAATTTTTTCAACGGTCCAATTTTCTAAAAAAAATTAATGGCTAGTTGACAATCAGGTATTTTACCGGACGTCCGGTAAAGTGTGTCCCATACAGCAGAGTTTTTGACCGTTTATATGCTATAAATACATCACTATTCATTCAATTGCATTAATAATTCTTGAGCATAAAAGTGAGGCTTTTATTGATCTCAATTACCCTATTCTCCATCTTCAAGAAGATCAAATTGATTAAACTCTTGAAAATTTTTTGAGTGATTAACTTTGCAAAAATCTTTAGTTCTTGAAGAAATTTTTCATATCGACACTTTGAGTTATACACATAGCCATCTATTGAAGTGTTTATCTCTTCTATTCTTTTTATCAATCTTGAATCTATTATTTCATAAGAAGAGAAGATTTCACTTGTAAATTCATTTTGAATTATGGGTAGTGTTGAGGTCCCGGACAAGCTCAACATTGTAAAAGGATCGGTGCTCCTTGATTGTAAGTTA